GGCAACTGCTTATATATATCCTAGAGCATCCTTCGGCATGGAAATATCCATACCCTTCAAAATCCCTGCGTGCCTACATCTGTTTATAATTTCTACTCGGATTATAAATTTCTGTGCGTGCCAAGATACACACCCACGATTTGCGGGAAATGACACCACCCGCCATGTTCCAGCACCCGCACAACTAAATGTTTCTAAGGAATGTGCTGTCGGGATGTTGGGCAGGCTTATGTACCTACTGGTTAAGTTTCAGGGCAAGGTCATATGGTTTAACACGTCAGGGCAGGGAACTCACATCGATACTCAGGTGCAGGGTCTTAAACATGTGCATTGAAGTTCTCCGGCACAGGTATACAGGGGTAACTGCTTCTTATAAGCCAGGCCACTCTCTCAGAACACTAGAATAATAAATGACAAGTCCAAGCATATGGGAAGCGCCCGATTGGCTAACTTGGGGGTTCACGGTAAACCTGTCAAAGTCAGTGGGCTAGCTGTTCGGCCTATATAGTCAGAAACTTCTACGGCTATGATATCATATATAGGTTCCTTGCCCAAACCCCGAACCTCTGTGGACTGGCTACATCGACCTGTACATCCTGTGGCCACTGCCACACCCTCAGCTTTTTTTCCACCAGGGCGGCACTGCTTCAGTACGGAACTTCTCGGTCCCAGAGCTTCTTATACAAAATAAGACACACCCTTGTGGTTCTGATTGCCACTTTCGCTGTCGATTGGCGCCTCGAGATCCGCGATACACGTCCTATGAAATCCTCGTCTGACCAACAGGCCATGCCTTAGCTAGGTCGTTGAAACGGAATGGGATTCACTCTGTGTTTACCAGCAAGAATTAATGTGACATTCTAAGTACGCCAGGGAGCACAAAATGTTCATGATGTGGCCTTTAGGCAGCTGTAACTCGAGTTCACGCCTTATAATTTGGTATGAAATTTCGAGCATTCCGAGCATCGTCGATCTTTCCAAACTAGTAGAAACATATATGCTACGTTTCAGATGCCGAGAGTCATAAGGTGAGCCTGCATGTGAATCTTCGGCTTCAGCTTAAAAAGCGCCCAGCGTCGCTGCACGCAAAGCGCCGCCAAGTAACCATAGCCCTCCTAGCATTTCTAACGGGGAGTGTGCTTTACAGATCTATCGAAAACTATATAGTTTCTGCCTGACTACACTTATCAAACTCAATCACCTGCAGCCCCCCTCTTAGAAGTTTCGAATTGTGACGATTCGGCCGAGTTACGAGCATGTTATAGCCATGAGACACCAGATCGGAGGCAACGGTGCTGGGGATCCAAATCCCCCTTCCATAGAAAGGCTTGAAGAAGTTGTTAGTGCTCTCGATCGTCCAAACCAGCACATCGAACAAATTGCGATGCCCTTGATCCTGGCTGCTCTGAAGTGCAGACTTCGACTACTTGTAGATTCAACTTGCAAAACCCAGGCATGCCATTAATTAGACTGCATATTTACATACGTACACAGAAGCCAAGAGTCCAAGCTTTCAGCATCTGCTGTCCGCAGAAAGTCCTGAAGCCATTCCAGCAGCAGGATTGTGTCGAAGCCCTTCCCGATCCCCATGGGGAAGTAGTTCAGCCTCGACAGCATCAACAATATTGTGATCGACGGAGGGATGGATGGATCAGTAGGTGCATAGGTAGGATAGATGTAAGGAGAGAGCTATGTAGATGTGTAGAATAGATAATTAGACAGATTGAAGGCAGAACTTCATAACCAAAAACACAGCTTCTCTGACTCCGACTCATGGAAGCACCCGGATCGCATACAATATCTCACAAAACTCAGGGTTGGGAAATGTGAAATTGAGGCACTAGAACAATTAAAACATCGGGAATTAATTAAGCTTCTACCTGACACACCCTCGATGCCTTACCGAGTCGTTTACAAGCCCCTATGTAGATTTAGAATATGTATCCCAAACAAACTGTAATCAGGTCTGGCATCGACTTCATCTTTAACTTCTCCAGCGTGATGCAGTTCAGGCTGGTGGTTTTGCCGTTGTTGCTGCACCAGTGCTTGAAAGACCTAAGCAAGTAGTCGAGGCGGCGGTTGATAGATCTTCCTTCTGCCATTCCTAGATGACAAACCAGTATCAAGGATGAGGTTGCCAGGGTGGATCCCCACCCTTGAATTGCATAGGTATGTGCTGGATCGATCCGTATTCGGAGCCAGTTGTCCCCACCGGGTATGTTTCGAAGAGGGCTGTAAGCGTGAGGCATCCACGGGTGTGCTCCAGGATTTTCTGGTGTCCAGGTTGTTCGCAGAGCTGAAGCTGCAGTAAGATCATACCAAGCCTATAAGGGATCAACGAGGTCTATTAATTATATTATATATACATATTAATTACATAATATATAATATTATATATATATATATACCTATTATAATAGGGTTAGATCGAGGACATACCTTAAAGCCCAGCCTCTTGCTCGCACAAAAAGCACAGACGCTTCGAGCTCCACCCAGGCTCTAGAGCACAGGCTTTCCGCAACCAAGGCCAATCACCTTTGCACCCCAGATAAGCAAAATGGATCTTGTAGGTCTTGTCCAGAAATTCAACCTAGGGGCCACTATCAATTCAGTAACATCATCAGAAACCCGATACGGAGGCACCTTTAGCAGCTAGTAGGATTTCAGGGTTCAGAGTTTCGGGCGCCATCAACATATACTTCTACGTATAGCACCATATCACCTGAGTATGTTATTCAGGCACGGTTGGGGGTTTGGGCCACAGGTCAATGATAGCCCTTCAATGCGGAACTTATGTGAGTTTAGGGCTTAGGGTTATATATATATATATATATATATATATGGGTTGGGGATTGTCCTATCATATAATGCCCAGGTTCTTCTAGCCCAGACTGGAACAGAGACAAGCAGTCCACCGACAAATCATCTAGTAGTGCGTAGACGCTCGCATCGTCCTCGGCATAGCACTGCGCTGGGAAGCAAGCATACAGCAGTCGGCTGCAGAATGAGTGCCTCAGATAGTACAGCTGGAAGCCAGGAATGTATCAGACTGTGTCATCGGCCAACTTGTGTAACAACCGTGCTATGTACTCGGAAGTGCAGCTGGGGAACCCTGACATGTTCACTCGATGGCTTCCGTAGTGGGACAGAACCCCTTGAAACGAAACCGATAACAGAGGTTGTTTGTTTCGTCCTCGCCCTTCATCACCATGCACCATAAAGGGTACTGTACAAGAAGGGTCTATTCCACTGGAGAAGAGTGGATGTCCACCATCTATGCAGGAATACTTGGCCCAAAATCCTCGCAGTTCTGCTCGCCAAGCATGCTCATCTTGTAAGCAGTGTCCAGCAAGTAACATTTCCCCACCACGAGCCAGAGCACACCGGGCCCAACTCGACAACCGGAGCACCGGCCAGCCGACAACTCGTTCTCGTCTATGTTTCAATTCTTTAATCGGAACATCGATTATGGAGACAGACACAGGTAGTGACAGCTTGTCATCGGCCAGCATTCGGTGAAGATTGCGGCAAGCATTGCCTTTCCCACCCCGTGCACACCGGGCCAGTCGTTCCAACATCGGGTCCCGTCCACCTTCACAAGATAGCGATTGCAACACTCGGTTCAAGATTCTATAGACGGTACATGTGGTCCTATGTTAATTTGAAATGCACACCTGCTCGACGTAGCTTCTTTTCAGCTTTGCTGGCAAGACGAGTAACTCTTGCACAAGAGTCGACCTTGGCTAGTTCCAAAAGCTTACGAAACGAACATTGCAGTACTTGTCGAAACGTATTTCGACAAGGAGCACCACCACTGATCCCTTCAAGCAGCTCGTCGAACAGGTCATCCGATGATGACTCCGACTCTTCGGGCTTGCCTGTTGGAGCAGGCAAGTATGGGCTTCTTTACAAGATAGGGTTTAGGGGGTTTACGGGGTTTAGGGGCTAGGTAATATGATCATCGATATGTGCATGTCTTGCAGAATTCCTGTCTGGGATATATAGTCCACAACTCGGATCTAATTATGTAAGCCAGACGAGGTCTCCTGTCGTAGGGGTTTAGGGTTCAACTAGGGTTCATAAGGGGTGAAGGGTGGTACAGGATAGCAGCTAGAGTTGTCATTGGGTTTCGTTGCAATATTAATTAAGGCTTTGCTAGTACAGACTACATATAGTACACGTGTTTGATTTTAAGTGCCAGGTTTTGAGGAGCAGTGGGCCATATATAGACAAGGCACCATAAGCCCAATCCATGGTTCCAGTACCTGCGCATGGTGTACAAGTCAGCATCCCGGTACGACGTATAGCCGTATAGACCCTCGCACGAAGAAGGACCGCCTTTTTCGAGAGCCACTCTGCAGTCGGCTAGCCCCACATGACTAATTAACGCACAGTGGCACTACGCACCACATGTGGTCGCTGGAAGCAGTGAGCCTTGGATGTGCTTGCATGATATGCACACTTGATGCACATACCCGTCTTTGTAACATGTGTACATGGCTAGGCAACACACACGGTAAGTAATTTGGCGCACACACTAGCAATAGCAGCTAAAGCATGCCTTGGCAACACACTATGATCCACATCTACCCAAAGCAGCATCAGCTGGCTCGGGGTTTCTTTCCACCCTTCTTGGGAGCAGCTTTGCTGGCCCCTCGTTTCGGGCTCGGCTTGGTTTTGCCCTCTTCAGCATCACCAGCCTTGTTTGCAGCTTTACCTTTAGCTTTCGGGCGGATCGCACCTTTGTGTTTGGAAGCTGGCGCGGGTGTCGCGGTACTCTTGCCCTTCAGGCTCCTGAGCAGGAAGCAGCATGGGGTAGGTTGGGAGTCTCCAGTAATTGAAGCCTGGTTGCTTAGATCGTTGGAGAAAATTGTTGAAGGCTAGGTCTTCCTTGGTCGCAGCCACATAATTGGAGACGATCTCGGCCTCGATCCTTAGAGGTTTCTGTTGCAGGGACTCCAGATCAACGTCTTCAAACATTATAAACATCCTGTGGTACTTCAGCCAGTCATCTTGGTTAGCTCGTCTTCCGTCGTGGCAGTTGCTGCCAAAGCCTGCTTCTTCAGCAGTTCATCATAGATCTTTTGGAGGCTTTCCAGGGACTTCGTCATGTCGTTCGCAATCCTAGGTAGAACAGGCCAGAGGTCTTCTCCTACAATTGCGCGTCGTTCATTGTGTACATAACCTAGTTGCTTACAAGTGACGACTCCGACCTGGCCGTCTTCAGAGCAAGACACTTGTCCTGCGATGCAGTCCAAACCCTGCTGCTAAGGTACATGTATATGCATATAATATAAACAACATATATGTATACATAGATAGATGTCTATATGACATTAACTTATATAGCACAATAGTTATCAAGTACATACTGTTAGATATAAGTTGTGGTATGTATAGTGTATAAACGGTTCTCACATGGGTGGTTGTCAAAACATGGTCCTTTCTTCGTTCCTTGTTATAGTACAGTGCCTATAAATTTCGAGTACACAAAATATAGGTACCGGTACTAGAGTTTTGACAACTACCCATGTGTAGACCTAGCTGAAAATAGAAATATGTATAGACTAAGGCCAGACTTCACCTATAGACCTTAGAAAACCCCAAAACCACAGCCCTGAATGATATCAAAGACCTATACACACGTGGAGTCCTTGGCCTCCTCACCATTGTCTAGCTTTCGTCCAAGCACAGTAAGAAAGCTGGGGAGTATGGAGGCCGGTGAGACATTCTGCTGCAGTGCCGGGAAGCACAACCTTAGACGAACTTTAGGGGGTTTTCAAGGGCAGCTTACACGAAGTGCTCCTGGGATTTCAGATTAGGGACTTGAAGGAAGCCCCGGCTTGTGCAGCCGCGACTGACACCGCAGGCAGAGCCTCAGAGCTGCCTGCGAAATCCTGGAGATGATCCTCACCAGAGAAGCCCGTCTCTTCAAGCAGGCTGCCATTCGGATCCTGGGTGAGCGAACGAGTGAGTGAATGTACATGAGCCATGCGTGTATTCTAGTGTGTGTTCTGTGTCGTTCACATCTCCCACTCTCTCTGCATCTCTTTGTCTCCCTCTCTCTCTTTCTCCTTTTCGTCTTTTGCACACATGGTAAAAGCTAGCTGGCTACATGCGTGATGATCAGTGAAAGCAAGACACATCCATTTCGCATCCGGTCTCGAACTCCAGACGCTGGCCTTGCTCCTTCTTGACCTGCCACTTCTCATCAAGGGGAATGTCCGCTTCCTCCTCTCCTGTGATGATATTCTTGCGGCATCTGCCGCGAGGGGCTGCCCACTTGAAGGCATTGTCAGCCATTGTCCTAACGTGACAACACATCTACAGGTGTTGAGATGATGCAGATAGAATATAGCTAGCTACACATGCTTGTGCATTCAAGATACTGTGTGTATGACTTGTTGTCCATCAACCACTTCTTGGTGACATAGCCTCCTGCGACCTCTTCCGTCTTCTTCCTCTCCTGCCACTGCTTGACAACAAGCTCCACCTTGTCAAAGCTTCCTTTCTCCACCAACAGCTGCCGAATCTTCTCACCTGAGGTATGAACAGTTCTCTCTATAATTATACGTGGTTTTCACCATTGCATGGTGATCTGATGGTGATGAATGATGATGATTCGAAGCACATCTGCGCTGCATATGTAGGACACATTACAGCCTACCCACATAAAGAAGCGCGAGACTTAAAATTGCATGCAGTTCAGCAACGACCATCCGGAGTGTTCCCCAGCTCCAACATCTCCTTGGAACATTTGGCCTCGCCCTTCGAATCGTTCCGAAGATAGCGTCGCACCCTGCAAAGCAGGAACAGATTGACTTAAGGTTTGCGACGGCAAAGGGCAAACATCCCGATTTAGGCAGCATGACCTCCAGTAGCCCTCCAGCTTGGGTTCAGCACTTGCTTTCACTGCAGCAGTCTTTTGAACAATGGAGGAAGCCGGCACAAACCCCAGCTTCTTGGGGGATAGTCGTTTCAAAGGCATGCCGTGCCCCTTTCCTTTGGACTGCAGGGGCGGGCCGGTTGGCTTAGCTGGGGAAGGTGAGCCTGGTGGCTTAGCTGGCGAAGCTGTTGATACTGAGCCTGGTGGGCCGGAAGGGGATGGGCTGGCAGCTGGCTCGGGGGGCTGTGTATCCGGCCAGGTTTCGGTGAGGGCGCTTCCCAGACTCGCCTCTGCTAGAGAATCTTTGGAGGGGCATGCTTGCAGCGACTCCTTTGACGATTGGGCCAGCATCTTTTGTGTTTCCGGCCCAAGAGGAACAAAACCCTTGGAAGCAACAGGGTTTGGAGACGGCGTGGAAGGGGAGGGCCTCGAAATTGTGCTTGGGGGCGTGTTTGTCATAGCAGGGGGAGGAGGAGCACCCCCAACACTTCCAACAGCCAAGCCGGCCACGAACTGACCACTATTCGAAGCCATCGTTGGGGCTCCTGAACACATGCATGAGCCACTCAGCCATACCATACACTACCTGTCCCAACAAGTCCTGCAATCATCGGCGGCACAGGCTCCGGTGCTCCACCGGCCATCATCCTCTGCAAGGACGCGAGCCTTGCATTGGCAGCCTTGGAACATAGATTTTGAAAAGATTGTTAAATCGCTAGCACTAGCATATTCGATAGCACCATTGATAACGGTTGTAGCAGCAGAAGCGAAGAGGCAGCTGCAGGAGCAGTTAACTATAGTTCAGTAGCAGTAGCAGTGGTACTACTAGTACGTATACGAATAGTACTAGTACTTTAAATATATTAATAGTAAGCAAAAAGGTTTAGGTGAGGGGACTTATGGTTTCTGGAACAAAAGATTCGGAGACCTCTGAGGGGTTTGCGCTTTAGAAGGTTGCAGGGCTTAGGGCTTCAGGATTAAGTGCTTCTAGCTGGGTAATTTGCTGTTCGGCAGGGATGGGACTTTTGGTTTGCAGAGGCTGAACTCTAGCTGTGCCCGAACTCGCATTGCCTCGCTCTAATCATATCTTCTAGATCGCGACCAAGAACCCTCTCACACCGATCCAATTCCCAACATCGATCGATGAACAAGAATCGGCAGCCCTAGCTCCGGGAAAAATTCATGCATGCAGGTGGTATCAAGTACTTAGATTTTCTTATAATATTTTAGTCAAGACTGCCTGCATAGGTCCTACAGCATGGCATTGAAGGGATACAGTATCATCCTAGTGACATTGAGTGTTGGGTTTGGGCACATGCCTAAAGGTCATTGGGCTAGAGCAAGAATTTGGTCATGACCCCACCCTAGGTCCTTGACCCTACTTTGGTACCCTAACATGCAGGACTCGACAGGCTGCATGCGCTCTCGCCTGCACTCAGCACAACATCGGGGTTTACGGGGTGAGCAGGTTATGTAAGTTGTCATATACTATGTATAAATACAACTTGCAAGACAAAAGACAGCTTCGATGTGATCACTACAACATGTAAGCTAGTGTCTGTCTAGATGTTCTCTCTCTCGCTCTCCCCTCTCCTGTGTCCAATCTCCTGGCAAGTCCTGAAGAGGCATGTTTCTTGGAAACAGCACATCTCGTTAGCTGTTGGTCGTGTTGGATGCAAAAAAAGAGGCAACCCAACCCCCCCAAAATAAGCCCAGGGAGGGGGGGTTGGGTGGCCTTGGGCCGGAACTCAAACAGGGGGGGGGGGCACGAGCACAACGCTCAAAAAACCACCCAAAACCCACGAAAACACACCCCCTCCACCCCCCCCCCCCCCCCCCCCTACCCCCCCTACCCCCCCCCTACCCCCCCCCTACCCCCCCCCCCCCACCCCCCCTCACCCCCTACCCCGCCCCTCCTTTGGTTTGTTTGTGGTTCCGTGGTGGGTTTGGCCCTCGATAGTGGGTGGGTGCCCTCTCCCTCCCTCCAGCTGTAGTGTATAATTATAAAAGTACTATTATATTTATTGGCACGACGACGACTGCACTACGTCCACTAATATCAGTGCTGGGTGCTCTACCTGTAGGATGGCAAGACCCATTTTTGGGATGCAGAGGATACTCCTGAATAGTGCCTAGATCTCACACCCTGAAACCAACCGTGTGCGATGACTCCTCAAAGCCCCGAACCGCAACAAGAGACCTGCAACCACGCAGCACTAAGCCTTGCATCCAGCTCGGCTTCGTCCAAGTTCCCAAAGGACATGCTTGGGCTCCAGTTGCACAGCTTGGTTCAAGCTTTCTAAGGACGTCATGCAAGCCTATTCGGCCCGACAAAACACAAAACTTGATCCTCATATGCACACAGATCGACATGGTCATACATGTTTCGCTCAGAAGCACACATCTCAGGCAGGGGTGCTGCTCCGGTGCTTTTGGAAGTACCGTGCCGCCGGGTGCTCGGATCCAAGCAATTTCCGGGACTGCTACCGAATTAGTAGCAGTGGCCAAAAGCCTAAAGTCATGGATTTCAATTTGCGCCAGAGTTGCGGGGATTTGCGCCAGAGTTGCGGCGATTTGCGCCAGAGTTGCGGCCAGTATTTTTCACTCGGTTTACATAAAACAAGATTTCCATGACTTTTACAAAAAAACATGAGTGATCCTATACTGCATGAAGACTGCACCCTTAAGGATTGGGCCCGTATATTAGTATGTGTACACGATCTAACCCAGGACTGGCCCTGCACCTAATCGGCTGTGGTATGCTGCTGGCCTATTCCAAACCCAGTATGAAAGACTCTTGGGGCAACGGGGTTCTGGTCGACTGTCACTCTGCACATAAAGAACCTGATTTCGGTTAGGGTTGCCGAGGGCCACTGAATTGCAATCGAATTATACCCTAGAGTCAGCACCTTCCTGTGCCACTTGCACGGCATAAGGGCACCTGACTTCCCTTCGGCCTAGCTTTGGATTTATCGGATAGGGTTTAGGGCTCAGGGCTTTTAGGGTCTAGGGTTCAGGGTGCCAGTAACTAACAGGCAGGGCTTTTCGGGCTTGGGGTTTGCTAGCTTAATCGGGAATAGCATAGGAAAGTTTTTCCAGGGTATATATAGCTAGGTTTTCATTGGTGGGTTTGCTTCGGAACATTGGGTGGCTGCTTCGAAGGAATCTACAAAGAGGGTTTGTAGGTGTACGGGATTTAGGGCCTAGCCTTGGGCGTATTGGGTGGCCTTGCAGGACACGATCAAGTCAGCAGTGCATTGTACTCCGCTCGCAAGTGCTTTGAATGGTTCACCTCGGCTGTGTTCTCACATCAAAGGCATCAGCTAGGATTTGTGATCTGCAAAGGGTTTCGGGCCCCTACCCTAGCTGCTATCGAGGCACTCTAGCATCCAACTCTTTGTCGAACTTCTCTATGGTTGCAAGCCACGAATCCGGTATGACCAACCATTTGTTTTGGCGAGCATAAAAGTATACTGCGACAAGATTGGCATCGCTCCAAACATCGCCCAAACCCATATCTTCGAAAATCTCACGATCTGTTCTCCCAGGGTCGACAAAGTTCTTGTGCCGAAGATGCTTGCGATCATGGACAATCTCCGTCTCGAAGAAGGCACGGTAAAGCTTCTGGCAGAAGCGCACGGGGTAGACCCTGCATGGTACGTCAAGAAGGTTGGAGGCCAAAAGCCCTGAACCCACAATCCTGATTGTGCACTAATAATATAAAGCCCGAAAGATATAACACTAATCATCGCTTTCAACACCAAGCAACCCAATCCCTATAAACCTGATCGCACATGTACCATATGCCCTCACTCAGCCTTAAAGATCGGAATCCCACAAAACCCCAGCCCTATAAATCCCGGCCCACTACCACTACCACTACTTCTACTACTACTTCTACTACTACTACTACTACTACTACTACCACTACCACTATGTGTACTTTCTTTTCATCTGCCGCCGGGTTGTCTCACCATCAACCCTCCCTGTAGGCGGCAGATGAAAAGAAAGTACAACATCCCCTAAAGTTCCTAAAGCATCATCATCATCATCTTCTTCTTCATCATCATCTTCATCTACTACGACTACTACTGCTACTACTACTACTACTACCACTATGTGTACTTTCTTTTCATCTGCCGCCGGGTTGTCTCACCATCAACCCTCCCTGTAGGCGGCAGATGCAAAGAAAGTACAACATCCCCTAGAGTTCCTAAAGCATCATCATCATCTTCTTCTTCATCATCATCTTCATCTACTACGACTACTACTGCTACTACTACTACTACCACTATGTGTACTTTCTTTTCATCTGCCGCCGGGTTGTCTCACCATCAACCCTCCCTGTAGGCGGCAGATGAAAAGAAAGTACAACATCCCCTAAAAGCATCATCATCATCATCTTCATCTACTACGACTACTACTACTACTACTACTACTACTACTACTACTACTACTACTACTACTACTACTACTACTCTATATACTAACTAGTGGAAGTAGTACTGCTAGAATATGCACCAACTAACAACCATTGCTACTACCAAAACTACAACTGGAACTATTACTACTACGACTACTACTGCTACTACTACTACTAGACTACTGTCACTACTTACTATACTACTAGTGCTGCTCGTACTAGTACTAGTACTACTCTACTACTACTACTACTACGACTACTACTACTACTACTACTACTACTACTGCTACAAAACCCTTGACGGGGGTTCCTCATCATTCTTTCAGTCAGAACTTGCAGAGCAGAAGGAGTAGCGAGTAGCAGTCATGGTGGTCGGTAGTGGTGGTGGGGGTAGTAGTGGTAGTAGTAGTAGTAGTAGCAGTAGTAGTAGTAGTAGTATAGTAGTAGTAGTTACAATAGGAATACTAGTAGTAATATTAGCTAGCAAAAGCAGTAGCAGAAGCAGAAGCAGGCGCAGTAGTAGCAGAAGTAGTAGTAGTAGTAGTAGTAGTAGTAGTAGTAGTAGTAGTACTAGTAGTAGTAGTAGTATATAGCAGCAGTAGTAGTAGTAGTAGTAGTAGTAGCAATAGTAGTGTAAGGTAGGGTTTAGGGTTCAGGGTTTAGGGTCTCGATAATCCCCAAAGTCGAAGCTCCTGCTGACCGAGTGGCCCTCCACTGAACTTGTCGGTGCCGTCTTTCCCCCTGAACCGACCTGAGCGGGTTAAGCTTGAGAGGCTGAGAGTAGTACCTTTCATATTTATTGCATCATATTAAACCGGAGAACATGATAAATGATGCATATATGTAGCCATAGTGCGAACAGTCTTTCTCGTAGTCTTTCGCAGCCGGTCTGACTTGCAAAGTACACCAGCATCCATTTGCTTGATCAGAGGGGAGTTAGAAAACAATGATGTGCGCTTGGGTGATGAACTGCCCCATGACATAAGCCACAAGTTCTGCCGATAAACCTGCAGTATATATTGGCCGGGCACAGCTCATGTTTTCAGAGAGTACATTTCGGAAGAGTGTAGCAATATGTTAAACTTTCGTACAAGGTACCCAGGCCACAGAGTTAGTGAGCCATTCGAAGCGGCAGTGTCGAACGATCAAGGAGCACATCGGATGCTCCAGGACAAAGGTCGCATGGACAGCCAACAAGACTAGGATTACAAGCACACACCTCAGTCCATCCACAACGTCTCCCTGTGCTGTAAATCCCTACATGCAACTTAAGAGCATAGAGGGCAGTCGAGCATCCGACTGATCATGATATTTGCCTGGGCAACATACGGTAGCTCTTGACCACCTTGCCAATTGATGTAATCGCGGCGGGAAGTAGCTCTATTGGGCAAGCCCCACGATGAGCATACCGGCCCCATCAAAGCAAAGGAAGCTGGGCCCATTGTCATCACCACCCAAACCACAAGCCTTAGCTGAATTAGGTAGCCTATCGGTTTTGGAGTTGCGCTTCACTACAACGAGCAGCCTGCAGCTAGGCACAGCACAAGAAGCCAGCATCAGAGAGCATGTTCATGTGAGGCGACCGGTTGATGTCAATCGTGGCCACACGAAACCCTCGGGCTGACCTTGCATCAACAAAACGACAAACCTTCACTCAAGTTCTTATTGACAGGACAGCACAAGCCTTTATCTGCATTAAGGCAGGCAGCCAAAATTTGGAAGCATTCGCAGTCCCTGCAAAAAGATCCACCATATCAAATCTCTTTGCAGGCAGTTGCCTACTCCATTGGAGAAGCAATGTGATTGCGATCAGCACCTTAGCTAACTCTGTTTAAAAACCATCGAGTCGACCTGCTGCAAATCGTGATCTGCCTTCAGACAAGTAGCCTTCGGAGCCCCGACTTCAAAGAGACGACACAGCAGGGATGAGTTTGGAGGGGCCGCGCGGTCCATGACGGTTCCCTGCTATATATATCAAAGCCCCGGTACTAACTAGAGCAAAATGCTGTGGATTTCAGGCAACCACTTCAGCATCAGCACAGCTTATCGTTGTACTCAGCACATGTGCAACTGCATCGGGGAGGGCGGACCATCTAGTTTAGCTTCCCTGCGGAAAGCCATAGCCGCAAACAGGTCGAAGCGACGAGTGCTCCAGCACGAAGAGGACGAGGCACCTGTGGAGCAACGGTGGGCTTAGGGGCTTAGGGCTTTGGGCTGAGGGCCAGGGGTAACGGGCTGATGATAACATAAGGTGTCGGGTAGGGTTTTAGATTTTCAAGATATAGCCAATGTAGAAGACGTTTCAACTCTATGGTGTGGTCTATGGAGTTATATGGTTTGGGCACGGCTGAAAGGGTATGACCTGTACCGGTATAATCAAGTCTTGTAGGCATGGGGTATAGGGCTTAAGGTTTACGGTTTTTTGTCAGACTTCGGGCTTAGCTTTTCCAGGCTACACTAGATCATGCAAACCCCGGCCTCGAACCAAGTAGAGAAAACCGCGATGAAACCAGTACCTGCAACAGAGTTGGGAATGCATCAGCTCTATAGCACTAAGCCCTGCATGTCGAAGGCTAGAGCTCTTCCAATAGTCAAGCACGTTTCACATAGCAGCTGGCGCACAGCAACGGGTTCTGGCAAAGTGCTTGGGGAGTCCACGCATGTAGATCCACAGCACCACCTGGCATAAGAGCTGCTGATGGCTGCACTTGAATGATATTATATATATTGCAAAGAGTGCACAGCCACAGTCGTGATGCTTCCTAGCTTTCGCAAGACACGAAGAGGCAGGCAGAGCCACAGTTGTTCTTTTCGGAAGCACACAAAGCCCGCACGTGGTCATGCACGTACTAGCACTAGTGCCGCTGTTCGGATTGCCATTGAGATTGGCTGCACATCTCCATACCCCCTTCACGAAGCCTGCGCAAGTCCCTGAAAATCATAGCTGGCAGAGGTTGACTGTTCAGCCCTGCAACATACCAGGAAGCGGAAGCTCAAGCACCGTGTGTAAGCACACAGCATCGGCTCGTCATCTTCTCATTCACACGGTGTCCTTGTAAGCCTGAGCAATCAACGACACAGAGGATCACAAATTGTACATAGGTATGCAAGAACAGTTTGGGCAAGAGACCTCCTGACCCTGCTTCTTGGCTTCCTCCTCTGAAAACCCTAGGTTGATGGCGTTAAGGCGGGCCCAGTGGTAAGCACAACTCTTGCGGCTCTTCAGCTGCTTCTTCTGCTTCTGCTCTTCTGTCAGCTCCTCCTCGGGTTGAGCAGCGCCCCTCTTGCGCTTAGGGGCAGCCTCAGGGGCTGCCTCCTCGGCCGGCTGAGCCCTTTTCCCCTTCTTGCGATTGGGCACGGACTCCTTAAAAACCGGCGCCACAACCTCCTGATCCCTCTTCCCCTTCTTGCGCTTGGGCTCTGCCTCTTCACACTCCCCGCGAGCAGCTGTATCCTCATCATCGCTCGGCTTGGCCTTCCGCGACTTGGCCTTTGCTGATCCCTTCCGCGTCTCCTCAACCTCGGAACCCTTCTTAGGCTTCTCAGCCTTCGGCTTGGTCTTTGGCACAGCACCCTTCTTGCGGTTGCACAGCTTGTCATCACCCTCCTCGTGGCCATTGGCCTCAGACGCCATGGCATCCGGCCCCTCACTGCCACGGCCACGGCCACGGCCTCTTCCACGACTGCGGGTGGGCACACCCGCCAAGGCCTCCTCATTCGGCAACGGCTTGCTGGCCTTTCCACCACAGCCTCTGCCACGGCCCTTGCCGCGGCCCTTGCCAGATCCTTTGTTGGATCTGCCACGGCCCTTGCCAGGTTTCTTGGAGCTGCCACGACCCCTACCACAGCCCTTGCCAGATCCTTTCTTGGATCTGCCACGGCCCCTACCGCGGCCTTTGCCAGATTCTTTCTTGGCTGCTTGGCCTGCACTCTGTTCGGCTGGGCTGACAACAGCCAAATGTCGGGCACAAGCGGGCATCGGAAGGGGTGGCTGAACTGAGCCTCTGGATTCAGAAGGAGGCTCAGTGCGCTTCTCATCTGCTGGCTCCTCAGTAGCCACCGAAAGCTCGTCGGGTGTCTCATCCGACGGCTCAATGGGCTTCTCATCTGATGGCTCCTCTGTCGCCACCAAATTCTCACTGGGCTTCTCATCTGACGGCTCCTCCATAGCCACCGAAGCCTCGCTAGCCTCATCTGATGGCTCCTCATTTGTCGGCTCCTCTGCAGCCACCAAAAGCGCATCCTCTGTCGCCACCAAATTCTCACTGGGCTTCTCATCTGACGGCTCCTCCATAGCCACCGAAGCCTCGCTAGCCTCCTCATCTGATGGCTCATCATCTGTCGGCTCCTCTGCAGCAAATAAAGGCTCAGTGGGCTTCTCATCTGACGGCTCCTCTATAGCCATCGAAGTCTCACTGGGCTTCTCATGTGATGGCTCCTCTGTCGCCACCGAAGGCTCAATGGGCTTTGGCTCCTCATAAGCGACCCGACTGTCATCTGGGAAAGCCAAATCTTCGGCATCGAAGTAAACAGTCCTGTTGTCGTCTTCGGCCTCCCCCTGCTCCGGTTCAGGTCGCACCTGCCCCAAAATCAAGGTTGTGCCACGAAGATCAGCCGAAAGCTCTGGCTTTGGCTGAGACTCTTCCTGCACCGACTGCTGCAGTTCACGCTGGTGAACTTCGATCCGTGCAGCTTGCAACACATCCTCGGCCACACCGGTGTCCATGGGGTACGTGTCGATATGGTCGACACCCATACCTGGGCCAAGCAAGCAGGGCCTGCTGAACACTCATTATAACAAACACTTCAATGCTGAATCAAGCTACTCGGCTCTGGCACTCGCTCTCGGGCAGCTTCGAATGCCCTCTTCGCGGCTAAGTCCCCTTTGGCCTTAAGCAGCATCTCAATGGTTGCACACTCACTCTCGAGAGCCTGCAGGATAGCTCGCTTCCTGTCTGCAGGAAGAGGAAGCTTCTCCGTGGATGACGGCGGAGACCCAGGGTGTGGTCGGTTCGGCGGGGGGGTGGCAATGGTTGAAGCACAAGTCGTGATAGAATCACCTCATGCTCCGCATGCTCTGCATTAAACAGAACATGCATGTGCACTGCAAACCCGTTGCACATCACATTCCTACCTATGTAAATGCAAAGTAAGGCACTGGTGCACACGCGCTGAAGTGCACCGGGTGGGTTTTGCTGCGGGGGCAACAAGCTTGGCACTGCAGCAGCCGGTGCAACAGCATCGGTCACGGGCACCGGAACAGCTGGATGAGCCACACTCTCACCTGTATCAGACTGCACAACGGCTGTCGGCGGACCTGTCAAGGCCGGCTCGGGGATCCCAGTTGCGTGGGCATCCACACACTCAGCACTTGCATCCCCACTTGCTTCCACAGCTGACATGGCAACCTCTTCATCAATCATGTCATCCTCTGTCGCACATTCTTCTTCCCCTTCCTCACCGTCACCAATCTCTTCAAGCACCTAGGGCCCCACAGCTCAACCACCAATTTGCATAGAGTACTTTAGCTCTATAGTTGGCCCAGGATTTGGTGTTACGGTTTTGCCGGCTTGCCGCTAACTTTTAGGGGTTTACGAGGTAGCACGGGACAGATTAGAACGTGGACAGCGATAGGCATTCCCTGCGATACAATGAGATTAGCATACATGGGCTATTAAATTTATGTAATATAAAGGTGATCCGTTTAATAACTGACCCCATGCACACACCACCGTGACGAGTTCATACCCTGTTTCCCCAGGCTGCCTGGGCATCGTCGATGGATTGGTGAGGACTGCGACCTGGGAAATTCGGGTTTGGCTTACCTATCTAGGTATTATATAGATATACTTCACAATATGGTTTGCAAAAGTCTGTGTAAGAGCCTTGCCTTCAGGGACTGGCACTCCCACCAGCTGATAAAGCCGAATGATATTGGGTTCGCGAGGCCGGTGTGGTTTCTTCGCTATCCTGGGTTGTACAGGGTATGCAAGTTTAAAGGCCCAAGGCTATCTCAATCAAGACCACGCGAGCAAAGGCTCCAAAATCATGCATACTAGTATCGCGCAGAACATGGTGATGAGGTTCCGCACTTTCCACGCTGCAGCCTTACAAAAGTCTCCTTAGCCAAGGCACTCTTTGGAAACATATTTGCGCGCATCACAATCGATCAGCAGAACTTAACAGCTAAGTGTCGTGAAGCCGGTTTGGCCCCTTTGACCCGGGTCATATGGAAGAAGTCCCCCACGCTATCGGCAATGGGGTCCACACTTGGTCTCACTCCCACCCAAAGAATGGCATGACCTGTGATATTCCAGTTGAAGTCCAAGTCAGCCCGCTGAAGGTTCACAGGCCCGATAACGAGCCGCCCGGAAGCCCCACGCTCCTTCAGTCCAGGCAGTGAAGCCCATACTTCCGCAAGGCTTGTCATGCTGACCACTAGACGCACAGCTTAGTCGTCGCAACATGCCTGACTGCCCACAGCTACGTAGCTAGCTACAGGTTACACATGCATTCATGCAGTCCGCACACAGTAGTGCGCATAAGCTGGAAGCCGAAGTCTCTGCATGCACGGTTCCAATGTTGCTCAACATATATGCCATGCAAGCATGCACAACTCGATCGGGCATGCAATTAACAGAACCCCCTGATGTAGAGGCACCAATAAGAGCCAGCGAGACCTTGCCAAGATCAGGAGGACCACTGGCTTCAGCATTGTCGATGGCGACACTCCCCACTATGCCGTCGCCATGTATGGAGCATGCGTAGTATCTGTATGCATGTATGTGTGAATGCATGTAACATCCTAATATATGTGCGTAACATGCACAGGTAAGTATTGCAAGTGAATACACACATCCCAGTGTTGGCTCCTTAAAGGTTGAGCACTAGACACTTAGATATTTTTAGACTATATATGGAACGACAAGTAGATCTGCATTGAACGATACTGTATAAGCCACTAAAGCCAGAGGACTGCTGCAGCAATTCCATCATGCCTGGGCCAACCTGATAATTTAGTACTATAGGCTTGGCATTCCCATCTATGGACATAGCCAGGGCAAGTATCATAGGGTTCCTTAAGGAAGTGAAGATATTGCCCACGGCAATGTGATTGTAGATCGAGTTTTCGACCTCGGCTTGGGGATGTAAAGCTTGCTGTGCAGGGTTTGGTTAAGCTAGCAACCCCATAGGATTTTGTTTACGAATGTGGCTTTGATCAACTTATATGATACAGCTATAGCTTATTTGGAGTAAGGCTTTGCTTCCGGGTTTCTTTGGCAAGGTCCCTACGTGAAACTTCAATTGGGCTACCCAGCATAGCATGACATCGACATACTGTGGTGAAGAAGCACTTAATGTGGGGATTCCAGGGGGCCCGGGTTATAAGGTTATGCTTAGCCAAACGATGTGCAGAATAATCGAAAAGTGTGTGTTTTCCTAAATTACATGAGTGATGGATTTTAATTTAAGATCCATGCGTTTCGACGGCAAGTGTAAGCATTCGTATCGGCATGGATATTTACATGCCGTTGGGCGCCCTAGGATAGGTGTATATATACATTAAATACATAGAGGCATTAACACGTTTTTGGGCTACGTGTGTTTGCCCACGGTCTTCGTCAGGAAAACCAAAGTCAAGCAACTTGTCACAGACGTTGGCTGGAATGCTCTGGAAGGAAGCTTGCTCACGGACGATGCTACTCGGCGCGAAGTGCCACCTTTGACGCACTACTTCGATCCCATGCATGTCTTCTTCGTGCAGGGACAGTTTTCCAGGCATGTCGGCTTTCTTTTGAAGGCATTGCAGAAGATGGGCTGGACCCCTGACCGCATAGCCGAAGCCTGCACAGATGATTCCATCAAGCACCGAAGAAGCACTCGCAAGGTCGGCCGGGCGCAATTTGCTCGCGAGCTGGGAGACAAATATTTCACTGAAGATGGAACTTGGAAAGTCTCCGCATCCAGCCAGCTTGGAGCTGCTCCGTTGCTTCACTTCCTCATTCGTTTCATAGTCTTTCCAACCGTAACTTGTCCTGACATGAAGAAGGAATTGCAGGCGTTTCTCCTTCTCGGCTCCGTCCTATCTTTGTGGATGCAGATCAAGTTTACTCCTTACGGTGAGACTGTGCGGAAGCACGCTGAATCTGCTGAAGCTCTGCGGAATCATGCGGAAGCATTGGCATGCCGTTTCCAGAACGCCATCAACGCCTACATTGCTGCTTTTCATGAGGTCTACGGCTTGGAGAAGATGAGGCCAAAAACACATTACATGCTGCACTTAGTGCAGCAGTACAGAGACCACTGTCGGATGCTGGATGCTTTCGTTCTCGAGCGCAAACATCGCGCCGCAAAGACCAAAATCGAGCATCTGTCCGGAAAGGGACACAATTCGGTGGTGTCCGTGCTGCACTCCCTTTGGAGTCTGCAGATTTCCGAAATCCGCGAAGCTCAACCCTTCGGTTTCAGTTGCGACGGAAATCGCTTGGATTCTGGGCCCTACAAGATTGAGCTTGGCCAAGTCGTTTGGTTTCCTTTGCACCGCAAAGCAGGTTTGGTGGAAGAAATTTGGCTGGAAAAGCAAATCATCTGGATCTCGGTCAAAGCGTTCATGGAAGTCAAGACAGAGCCTGGGTGTTTAGTGTTTGCAGAACCACTGCAAAGAATGCGAGCCTGCCTGCAGCAGCACCAATTCTTGCTGCCGCCTTGCTGGATGCTGGAAGGAAACTCTTTGACGATGTTGTTCTGACTCTGCAGTGGTCGCCGCAGCGAGCGGTCTGAGGAAAAGACTGCAGCCAGTCCGGGGATGCATACTGCATGCACTCATGCGATGCTGCCCTTAAGTCTCTATATGAGCTGGAAGCCTTGCACTCCCATGAGCCGGAAGGTTTGCATCTCTTTTTAAAGCAGTTGATATTTGCCGGACGTCTTGCGTGAGTAAATAGTCGCAGAAAGCTTGCGAGTAACTCGGAAAGTTTGCGCCTTTGTGCCTTTGTCTGCCATGGTGTGTCTTTGCGTCTCGATTCTTGTTGTTTCTCCGTTTCGTTATTTTAAACCTGTATAAGCTAACTTTTTCTAACTTATGTTAACTTATGTTATCTTTTTAGCTAACTTATTTAACCTCTTAGTATCATGTATATCTTAACTTAAGCCACACGCACTATCTTAGTAGGGGCCTTATAATAATTATTATAGAAAAATTATTTAGGGCCCCTATATTATGGGCCGTGGATGCCCCTGGTCTTCTTTCGGCATTTCGGCTCATCATACTCGAAGACCCGACTCTCATTGATACCATAAAAGGAAATCATATCATTTGCTATAGATCCCCAGTATCGTAACTTCCCAGTCTTGTGCTCTTCTCCCAATATATGTTTCAGACCCAGCCCTCTTAATTCAAGGGACCATCAGCCCGTGAGTCTGCAGCTTACGGGTCCAGCATAAAGCATTTTGAAGTGTAGGGTAGGGGCTGGGGATTCACAACAAACGCAGAATCGCTGGGCCCAGAAGACCTCAAAACTACGACGCAAACAATTCCTAACCGGATCCTGGAAATGCTCAAAACCGGACAAGCTATTAGGGAAGGACCTGCGGGGCACATCATCGTCACCCGAACACCTACATATACTATGGAATTGAAGCAGCCAGGAATCTTCAGGAAGCGGGCCAGCGGATTGAATCTAAAGACCTGGTTCGTGTTCTTTGTCTGCGCCGCCGAATCAATCCTCGAATGTTGAGATTTGGCAACATTACCTATAGTGTCCGTTACAATTTCTTTTGTGGGTTGCCTTAAAGGATCCTAGCTATAAAATTGTTTAGCCAAACAAGGAACTACAATGGAGACTATCGTGACTATAGGTAGTTTCTGATGCCCCACGTCTCCAGACACTCCTTGCAAGAGTTTGTGTCAACGGTCCATAAACACCCTGTCCATCTGGGCACTCAGAGTCCTACTTAAAAGGCTTAACTACATTTAATATATTCGTAGCATCTGTAGTAGACAGGCAAACATTTAGCGACCCTCGAATAGGAGGAAACCCATGTAGAATCTGGAACACAAGCTATGTTCGGGCGTGCTTTGGTGGAAACGTGCAGGTTCCACCCAGTCTGTATGGTTTAGGGTTCAGGGTTTGAGGAATTAGGGCTGCAAAGGCGATGGCAACCTTTCAACAATAACACTTAGTTGCTGAGTTCACAAGCCCCCCCCAAAAGTGCACACTTTTAGTTTCATCGTGGGTAATATTATCCCAAAAAGTGTAAAGTGTATCCGCTCAGCTACTAGGAACAAGGCCCCGACTAGAAGGCCTTGAGCACGAGGCTCAAACCACAAAGGCCCGAAGCCCCAACAGCAACATAGACGACACAAATCCGCACGAAACCGTCACAACCGTTATACAGCCCA